GCTGTTCCCAGCTCTGGAGCCCCCGAAATTAAGGACCTGGAGCTGCTGGAGAGAGCCCAGAGGAGCCCACGGAGCTGCTCCAGGGCTGGAGCCCCTCTGGAGCCAGGCTGGGAGTCCTGGGGGTGCTCCCCTGGAGAGGAGAAGGCTCCAGGGAGAGCTCAGAGCCCTTGCAGGGCCTGAAGGGGCTCCAGGAGAGCTGCAGAGGGACTGGGGACAAGGATGGAGGGACAGGACACAGGGAATGGCTCCCACTGCCAGAGGGCAGGGCTGGATGGGATCTTGGCAATTGGGAATTGTTCCCTGGCAGGCTGGGGAGGGGCTGGGCTGGAATTGCCAGAGCAGCTGGGGCTGCCCCTGGATCCCTGGCAGTGCCCAAGGCCAGGCTGGAGCACCTGGGACACTGGGAGGTGTCCCTGCCATGGCAGGGGTGGCACTGGGTGGGATTTAAGCTCTTTTCCCAATCCAAACCATTCCATGATATAAGGTGGGCAAATCTGGGGCATTCAGAGCCCTGAGGAGAGAGGTGGCAGTATTAAGGAAGGGAAAAAGAGAAAAAGAACAATAAAAAAAAAAAAAAATTAAAAACCACCCCCACCTTAATCACCTGAACTGCCCAGGGAAGGGAAGTGCCCCGAAGCAGAACAGCACCAGCTGAAACTTTCCTTTGACTTTTATAATTACAGAATAGAAAAGAAATCCTCGATTCACGTTACAAAGACGGGCTCATAGAAAACCAAGCCAACGGAACAGAAACACCCAAGGTCCCAGAGCACCGTGCCCGGCTCCTGTGGAGCCCGGGGGAGCGGGGGAGGCTCTTCCCAAGAGCTTTAATGCCAGCAAGCTCTTCCTGCTGCTTCCTGCTGGGTTTGGGAAGGGCTGGGAGCAGGGGAGTGTGTGCCTGTCCATCCCATCCCATCCCATCCCAGAGCATCTCAGTGCAGCATCCTTGGTCCTGGAGAGGAAAATAAACCCCAAAGATGCTGCTGGCTCCAGGGCTTGGGGATGGGGATATGTTCTGAGGGATGAGGGGGATCACTGCCTGAAAAAAACACAATTCTCCATGGGAAAAAAGAGGGGCAAAGGGTGGAAAATTATTGCCTGTAGAGTTCACAGCTTGGCTGGAGGTGGCAGGGGGCTGTGAGGGCTCAGCCCATCCCAGCTCCAGGCCCTGGCACTTCCAGGGCTCCATGTTGGGAAGGGCCAAAAAACCATTCCAGGGTGTAAAAAATTCCCCTAGCACTGGAGGAGAAACAGCTGGGAGGTGAAATCCATCCAAATTCCCAGCTCCCAGGGGTGCAGGGTGAGCTTCGGAGCAGATCCAGGGATCCTGGAGGAGCCTCATCCCACGGAAAGGAGAGCGAGGAGCTTCTGGGGAGCTGAGACACTCCAGGAAACTCATTTTTTTCCTTCCAGTTCCTTCCAAGGCTTTTTCTTCCCAGCTGATCTTCCTTCTGCAAAGCAATCCCTGCCCAACCCACCTCACACCCCCAAAATTCCTTCCCCCCATGCCGGTGTCCCTGTGCCGCTGGAGCTGAGGGATGAATTTGGCACCGAGCCCCCCACAGATGAAGGGACCAGGGAGGAGCCCCCAGCCCTGGGCCCTGGGGGTCCCAGCGATGCTGAAGGCACGGTGTCAGCCTTGGGGGGCCCGGCTCAGCCAGAGTCTACTCAGGCACTTTAAATTAAATTAAAACCCAAAGAAATTATTGGAAAAAAAAAAAAACCCAAAGCAACCCGAAACATTCATCAGATCCGTTCGAAGGGCTGGGAGGGGCTGGGCTGCAGCAGCCTCGCTGTCCCAGCTCGGAGCAAGGCCCCCAGAACGTGGCAGGGAGGGGGTGCAGGAGGATTTCGGGGTCCTGTTGTCCCCCCATGTCCCCAAATCTGCAGGTCGAGGCGATGCTGATGGACGGATCCAACTCCTCGGAGCATCCCAGAGCGATCCCCTTCCCCGCTGCTTCATCCCAGCATGAGGGGCTGGAGAATTCCTGCCGGGAGCACAGTCCCCGCGTTTGGAGCCAGTCTGAGCCAGATCCGCAGTTTCAGGAAATTGTCCCAACCCCTCCTGTCCCCAGGGCGGTGCCTGTCCCTGTCCCTGTCCCGAACCCCCTCCGCTGCTCCAAGGAAAAGCCAGGCTGGGAGAGACAGATCCAGCGGTGTCCCGTGAGCGCTGCCACCTCCGCGTTGTCGCCGTGTCCCCGCCGCGGGCAGGGGGGATCCGGGGGGTGGCACGGCCCCCGCGGCTCCCGGCTGCTCCTGGGATGTCCCGGGGCGCAGGAGGGGACGGGCGCTCGCCGTGGTGGCCCCGTCGCGCCGGGGGTGGTGGCATCGGGGGTGGTGACTCCGCGGGGTCCTGGCGCCGCTGGCTCCCGGTTATCCCGAGCTGGAAGAGAGGGGACAGACGTTGGGAGAGACCCCCGGCGTGGGGACAAAGAGGGGACAGCAGGCGTTGGGAGAGCCCCCGCGGCGTGGGGACAAAGAGGGGACAGCAGGCGTTGGGAGAGCCCCCGCGGCGTGGGGACAAAGAGGGGACAGCAGGCGTTGGGAGAGACCCCCGGCGTGTCCCCGCGTGGGGACAAAGAGCCGCGGCCAGCGAGGGGACAGGGACCTCTCATGGGGTCACTGCTCTCTTCCACCCCCAAAAATGTCAGAGAGCGGCTGGGGAGCAGGGCTGGTGTCCCCTCACATGGGGACACTGTGTTCTTGGGGTTCATTCCTCTCTCTTCTTGTTGTGTCTATTTTATTTTTATTTTTGGCTTTCGGTTTTATTTTTATTGTAATCAGCATTGTTATCATTGTTTTTGTAAATAATTTTGTTGTTGTTCTTAATATTAATAATAATAACAATACAGTTGCTACTGCTACTATTGGTAGTACTATTATTCTTCTTGTTATCTTTTGCTTAATTGCAATTATTAGACTGTTGTTACCCCACAGGTTCTCCCTGTTGCTATTTTTATTTTTATTTTTATTGATAATAATGCAGCTCCTCCTACAACTATTACTACTGCTACTATTAATATTATTCCTGCTATTATGTATTTTTAATTTCAGTTATTAAACTGTTGTTACCCCACAGGTTTTCCTTATTATTGTTGATATTTTTCTTATTATTAATTATAATAATACAGCTCCTCCTCCTACTATTATTCTTGTTATTATATTTTTCTTAACTTCAATTATTAAACTGTTGTTACCCCACAAGTTCTCCCTATTATTGTCGTTACTATTTTTATTTTTATTAATAATAATAATACACTTGCTACTACAACTATTACCACTATTACTACTGCTATTATTCTTGTTATTATATTTTGCTTCATTTCAGTTATTAAACCGTTGTTATATCACAGGTTTTCCTTATTACTGTTATTATTATCAACAGCAACAGCAACAATACTAATAACACTAATAATACTAATAATATTAATACTACTAATAATAATGCTATTACTATTTCCATTATTCTTGTAATTATTCCTGGACCTCCCCACGCTGCTGTTAATTCAATCACAGCTAATTAGAAACTGCAGAATGAGCTGTAATTGCTGCAGCCCGGCTGGCCCTGGGGACACAAGTGACCCTGGGGACACGGCTGTTCCTGGGGACACGAGTGACCCTGGGGACACGGCTGGCCCTGGGGACACGAGTGACCCGCCCCACAGAGCCAGGCCAGCCCTTGTTTGTCCCCTCGCTGGTGAGGGGAGCAGTGGGACCCTGCTGTCCCCTCCCTGTCCCCTCCTTTGGGGACAGGGGCACCCCTGAGTCCCTGAGCTGCCACTGCTGACAGGGGGATGGAGGGACATGGAAATGACAACTGCATTAATTAATCAGTGGGTCATTAATGAGCTGCTGGGGACAGAGGGGAGCTGGTGACAGAGGGACAGAGGCAGGGCGGTGACAGTGTCCTGGTGTCACCCAACACCCCAGCTCGGGTCCCTGGCAGCCGGGCAGTGCCAGGGGGACACTGGGATTGGCAGAGGGCACAGGGAGGGTACAAACTCCCAGGAGAGGGACAGGGACTGGCACAGGACCCGAGGTGTCCCCCCCTGGTGGGGACAGCCTTCTCTGCCAGCAGCTTTTGTGTCCCCTGTGTGTCTAAAACTGCTGTTCCCAGCACTTCAAATCCATTTTTCAGCTGATTTCCCCCAATCTGCAGCTTTCAGCACTGACCCCACAGCCATCAGGGCGTGCTGGGCCTGCAGCACCCCTGGCACCCCCTGTGCCCGGGGGGTGACACACGAGGGTCAGGGTGGGCTCCCCTGTCCCTCTGCCCATGGTGGCTTTGCCCACTCCCACCCAGGCAGGGCTGAAGGGACACAGGGGACACGTCCCCTGTGTGGGATAGCACTGCTGGGTCCTCCCAAGTGGGGGAGGACACCCCAGTAACCCCCAGGATGTGGGTGCTGGCACCGGGAGGTGCCAATGCCACCATCCATGTCCCCATCTGTGTCCCACCCACACCCGGGGGCTGGGGGCTCCCAGAGAAGGACCAGCCCGGTGCAGGGGGGCACAGCACCCATGGGTGCTCCCCTCCACCCCATCAGTGTCCCCAGGGAGGGCCCAGCAGTGTCACAGATGGATTTGTCCCCTCCCAGCCCCTCTCTGCCTCCCTAATGGCATCGCCTGCCCTTGAATTTGCATACAAGGCTTAAAATATAATTAATTTTTGGCAGCGGACAGAGCCTGCTCGAGGTTAATCCCTTTAGATTTGCGAGCCTTATCTCGCTGGAGTGTTTATCGAGCTCGGCTTAGCAGGGAAGGCAGAGCGAGGAGGAGTGGGCTGCGCTTATCTGGAGAGCCGCTGCTGGCCCGGGCCCGGTGGGGCAGCTCAGCGAACAGAACGCAGCAAACACAAACCGCGAGCGGGGTCCGCCCGGAGCGCCCGGCCCTGCCCGGGCGGAGCCTCGGGATTTTGGGGGGGATGCACAGCCCCGGATCTGAGCTGTGCCAGCGCCGCGGGCACACTGAGGGTCCTGCGGCCCTGAGCACCCCGGGACTCACGTGTAGAGCGGCTGTAGCTGCAGGTGCGACGTCTTCTGGGGTGCCTGGTACCCGTAGGAGTCAAAGCCGCCGATGAAATCAACTGGGGAGAGCCGGGAGAGCAGCGGCGTGAGCCGGGAAGGGCAGCAGGGAGATCCCCGTGGGGTGGGGAACATCCCGGGCTGCAGCTGCCCCCAGCGGAATGTGACACCCCAGGGAAATGGCACTGCCCAGTGTGCAACTGGGAAGTTCTCAGAGCCCCTCCAGGGCCTGAGGGGACTCCAGGAGAGCTGCAGAGGGACTGGAGACAAGGATGGAGGGACAAGGACATAGGGAATGGCTGCCACTGCCAGAGGGCAGGGGTGGCTGGGATCTTGGCAATTGGGAATTGTTCCCTGGCAGGATGGGGAGGGGCTGGGCTGGAATTGCCAGAGCAGCTGTGGCTGCCCCTGGATCCCTGGCAGTGCCCAAGGAGCACCTGGGACAGTGGGAGGTGTCCCTGCCAGGGCAGGGGTGGCACTGGGTGGGATTTAAGGTTCCCTCCCACCCAAACCATCCCGTGATTCGGTGATCCTGAGCCACCACAGCATCCCGAGGAATCCCGGTGCTTCATTCCCAAGAGAATAAATCAGAACCACACACTGGATCAGATCAGAAGGGACTGCTGATGGTCATCCAGCCCAACCCCCCGCTCAAGCAGGGTCACTTGGAATTCTGTCCAGGCGGCTTCGGATACCCCCAGGGAAGGAGACTGCACAGGCTCTCTGGGCAGCCTGGAATGGAGCATCCAGGGAGGCACAGGGGCACCCCCAGCCAGGGCTTCACCCCAGGGAACAGCAGCCGGGATGGTGGCAGCATCCCGGGAAACACCGGGGACAAGGAGCTGGAGCAGCTGCCGCGGTGGCGGCGGTTCCTTCCCTTCTCGTCCGGCACAGTCCCGTGGACTGAGAGGGCGAGATTCCCCTGCTGGCCGCGGAGTGGGCATTTCGGGAGAGTTATGGGGGAATTGGTGCTCCTTTGGGGCTGTCACCTCGGGGGACTGCAGGCACGGTAGATCAGGTTTCACTGCTGGGATTCCCAGCCTGGAGCTTCATCCCGCTCCTAGCCTGTTCCCGGGGGCATCAGAGCCCGGCCCCTCATCCCGAGAGGTGCTGAGGCAGCTCTGTGGGGCTGCAGGTACCCTGGGGGTGCCCTGGGGGTGCCCTGGGTGGGTGGGCATGCCTCAACTTCTCCCAGATCACCCCGTGTTTCCCCAGACCTGACCCCTCTCCCCAGCACAGCCAGCACAGGGATGGACTCCAGGTGCAGCCAGACTGGGAATTCCAACCTTTACAGGATCCCCAGCACCACCCAAGTCCCCAAATCCCATACTGGGGTGGGCTATCCCTGGTCCCTGTCTGAGAGCTGAGAGCTCCAGGGCAGAGCCCCTCTCCCCCGGAATATTTCCCTTCCCAGCTCAACATTCTGCCAGCTCTCGATTTTGACGCCATCCATCCATTTCCAAATCTAATAAGATATTCCATTAAAAAGATGCATTTGCATGCCAGGCTGAGGCAGCATTAATATTAAAATTGTGTTGGATGCGGGAGTTTGTGGGAGTGCAAATGTGCTCCAGAGCCGCCAGTGCTGGATAAACCCTTTGGAAAGGAGCTGCTCCCCCAGGCAGCAGCCAATTCCCCACGGAGATGTTTTATTTCCATGGGAAAGGAGGGAAAACACGGGGGTGCTGCAGCCCCGGGCTGGGCTGGGACCACCTGTGGGTCCGTGGAGTGGGGGGTGCTGCTCCCGGTGCTGCTCCCGGTGCTGATCCCGGGGAAGGAGCACACCCGGGTGGCTGTGGCCCAGCCCTGCTGGGATCTGCCAGCTGGTGGGAATTAATTAATGGCAGATGAGCTTTTAATGCACTTGGACAGCCACAGCCTCGACCACCTGGTTCAGTGGGGCTGGGGTGCTTCCCAAGGGGGTTTGCAGGGAGCGGGTGGGATCAGGAGGAGCAGTCCACACTGGATAAAGTTAGCCTTCACTTTGCCTAAAACGCTGTTTCCCCCCTGGTTTGGAGTGAAAACCTGGCAGTGGGGAGGCTGTGGGGACACAGCCCGGGGGACACAGTGGACCCAAGTCACTGTGGCTGTCACAGGGAGGGAGGTGACAGCGGCCCCATCACATCCCAGCACCTCTGCTTCACCAGGGATGGGAGAATAGGGCAAAAACCCAACTAAAGGGATTTCCTCAGCTGCCTGGGACCTAGGCATTGCTTTCCCAGCCCCCACTGGGAGCTGCCACCCTGCTCAGGGTGGCACCACCAAGGACACTGTGCCCCTGTCCCCCCCAGCCAGGGCACTTACAGCTGTCCTCCTCCTCCAGGAACACTTTGCTGACGTAGCAGGCGTAGACAAAGCCGAAGAGCTGGGGAAAAACAGGGCAGGGAGAGGCTGGTTATGGGGTCATGGGCAGCACAACGGGCACGGTGCCAGTGGGGGCACGGCTGGGGGCCTGGAGTGACCTGGGCACACTGGGAGTGACCTGGGGGGACTGGGAGAGAACTGGGCACACTGGGAGTGACCTGGGGAGACTGGGGGTGAACTGGAGGCCTGTGAGAGAACCGGGCACACTGGGGGTGAACTGGGGGCACTGGGAGTAGCCAGAGCCCACCCTGGTGCAGTCTGGGTGCAGCAGGGCTGGATGGATTCAGCTGCACAAGGAGGGCTCTAAGGAGGCTGGAGCTGGCACCCCACAGAGGGTGCTGAGCCCCACACAGTGCTGGGAGCCCCTTTGGGGACCCCGATTCCTCTTAAAGCTCCATTCTAGGGAGCTCTGCCTCCAGGTGTGTCCCATTGCCACCTCCCCACAGGGGGTGACAGTCACCACCGAGGGGGGACCCTCCCTCCCGGCGGGCAGCACATTCCAGCAGCTCATTCCCAGGGAGTGGTTCCTCCATCCCTGCAGCATCCAGCCCTCGACCTGGCAAGTTCTGGGGTGGTTCGCACCCCTGGGGTGCTGGCAGGGCTCTGTCTGCTCCTCTGTGGGTGACAGAAACGTGTGACGGGGGCACCGCGGCGCCTCTGCTCACCCCAGCCCCACCACCCCGCCTGTCCCGCTCCCGGTTTGGGATGGAGGATGAGGAGGGGCGCCCTTACCGCCAGGAAGATCTGCGTGGCGCTGCTCACCACCTCGATGTACTGGTAGTCGAGCAGGCAGCCGCTGACGGTGATGACATGGTGATCCTCGGGCGCCAGGTTGGAGTTGAGCACCGGCGTCACCAGGCAGCCCGGGCCGTTCTCCATCCACCACGAGCGGTGCAGGGAGGTGTTGAAGGTCATGATGAAGTCTCGGTCCTGCAGGAGGAGGAGGATGGTGGATCCGAGGCTCTTTGCAGGAGGGCTGCACAGTAAATGAGCTTTCCAAGGCAAGGATGCTCCCTGAGGTCAGAGCAGGGCATCTCCCTGAGCCCCAGCCCCGGGGTTTGGGGCTTCCTCCCGTGCTGGCACTGTGGACATCCAGGTAATGGCCAGGTGACAGGGTGGGTGTCACAGAGAGGGCACCAGAGTGGCAGGGAAGGTGTTTGTGATGGTGCCTCCTGCCATCCCAGGGGTGGGAGCATGGCAGCACCCCACCAGCGTGTTCCAGGGATGCAGGGCAGCCCCTGCTGCTTCCCCTGGGCTATTGGGGTGCCATGCCCTCATCCCACTCCCAGGGAGCCTTGCAGGGTCCCCCTGGAGCATGTCCCCTCCTTGTCAGCCCCCACAGGCTTTGGGGCTCTGCCTGGGTCCTCTTCAGCAGCTGTGGGGTGGCCTTGGGCAGGCAGCAACCCCTGGCTGCCTCTTTCCACCCCATGAGGGTCTCCCTGGTACCCCTGGGGAGCCCCCACCCCATGAGGGTCCCCCTGGTACCCCTGGGGAGCCCCCACCCCCCCAGAGAGCCCCCCCAGCCCCTCTCCGCCTCCCCGGCTGTGTTGGGGCTGAGCCTCCCCCGCAGGAAATCACCGATCTGGGATGAAAAGATTTTTGCTGCTGGGGGCGGCAAAAACCCCGAAAGGGAGTGAGTGGGTTTGGGTTTGTGGAGCTGGAGGATGTGGCTGAGGCACAGGGACAGGCGAGCTGTGACGGGCACCGGGGATTTCCACAAAAATCCGCGGTGGGAGGGAATCCTCCCCCCTCCCCATCCTGCTGCGCACCCAGCTCTCCGGGAGAGCCTCAAATGACCTGAGACGTTCCCAGCCATGGAACACCCCCCGAGGCCTTGCCCTGCTTGGGGCAGCATGGAGAGAATGGAGCTGGCTGTCCCCAGCCCCCCGTGATGTCCCCAGAGCCTGGGAGGGACGCACAGGGACCCCGACCCTGGGCTCAAAGCTTCCCTAGAGCACCCGGTGCTGCCCCATCCCCGCGGGGAATGTTGCTCTTTTTGGTGTAAAAGCTGTCATTTAACAGCCAGGGTGTGGTGGAGGCACAGCCCCATCACATCCTCACCCCATGGCCGCACGGTGACCTCCCAAAGCCGGGAATGCTGATCCCGGTGATCCCCAGAAATTCCGGGAAAATTTGGAATACACAGCAGGGGGGTCTCCTCCTCCCACCCACTGCCCTCCCCATCCCTGCCAGAGACCCTGCCCCAAGCTTTCCTGCCCTGCTCAGCCCGTTCCCGGTGTTCCGCCTCTCCTTTGTCCCCTCAGTGGAGATAAAGGAAATTCAGTTCGGGTTCGGAGGCGGCCGCTCGCTCCACTCTGAGCTGTCGGTTTGTCCATCCCATCCCATCCCACGGGAATTCCGTGCTCCAGGGAGGCAGCCCTGGCATCCTCTTTGCTGCGGGGCTGGGGCACCCCCGGGCCCTGGGGGGGGCACTTTTGGGGGAGAAGGAAGGGGAGGAGGATGAGGAGCGCAAGGGCGGGCAGGACGGAGGGAAGGATGGAGGGAAGGAGGGTGCAGGGAGGAAGAGGAGGAAGGCGGGAGCGTTACCTGCGACAAGCGCCCGACCTCCAGGTAGAAGCAGATGATGAAGGCGTTCCAGCCGACCCACAGCACCAACCACACCGCGTACTGCAGGAGAGACGGGTCAGGGCACGGGCACCTCCTCCGGCCCCGCCGCACCTCCTCCGGCCCCGCTCCAGCCCCCCGCACCTCCTTCGGCCCCGCTGCAGCCTCTCTGCAGCCCGTCCAGCCCCGCTCCAGCCCCGTTCCAGCCCCGCTGCGTCCAGGGGGTCCCGGTTGGGATTGTGGAACCACAAAATCACAGCACGATTTGGGGTGGAAGGGACCTTAAAGTTCATCAATCAGGAGAGAACCCATGGGGGCGCCAGGCATCATCCAGCCTGCGTTAGCGAGCCCTAATTGCATGGCAGAATTAATGAGGTGGGGAAGGTGCTTGCCTGAGTTGTTCCCGAGGAAGTACATCCACCAGCTGTGCCCCAGTTTCCCCATGCATCAAAATCCAAATACTCACTGAATTTCCTTTGGGAGGGCTCTAATTCCCACCCCTGCCATGGCAGGGACACCTCCAAATCCCACTCCAAGCTCTGCCCAGCCTGGCCTTGGGCACTTGCAGGGACGGAGCAGCCAGAGCTGCTGAGTTCCCAGGGGTACAGGAGAGACCTGGGGCTGAGCCTGCTGCACCCCCAGGGTGGTACCTACCATCATGAGGTATCTGGATCTGTACTGGATGGTCCCAAAAATACCCAAAATCACGGCCATGATGTGCAGGAAGTTCGCCAGGATGGGGGCCCACTGGTATCCCAGGAAATCAAAGATCTGCCTCTCCAGCGCCGCGACCTGCAACAGAGCGGGGAGGGGCAGGGATCAGGGCCGGGCACCCCCGGGGTGCTGAGGTCAAGGAGCAGCTGGGAATCTGTCCTGGATTGCCAAGCCAGTTGTATTCCATTTGCCATCTGGATGGCAGCTGTCTCCTGTTCAGTGGGCAGTTTTCCTTATCTCTTCCACAGCCACTCCTCCAGGGGACATCTGCTGATAAGAGGCTGTGGAATGTCCGTGCATGGCTGATGAGAGCTACAGCACCCATGGGAGATGTGAGCCCAGGGGAGGAGCCCAGCATTCCTACCCGGATAGAATCTGAGATTCTGCAGCACCAGCACGGCTTCTCCCCTGGATTCCCAGAGGAGCAGCAGCTGCCTCTTCCCCTGGAGCTTCAGAGGAAGACTCCAGCCTTGTGCAGGATCCCTGCTCCAGCAGAACCACAGCTGGCACTGCAGGAGGGCTGAGCCACAATTCCAGTGGGACTGCTGCCAGCACCCTGACCCACAGGGTGTCAGGCTGTGCTCTGACCCTGTCAGTGTTGTTGTGGTTCACTGCATTGTTTATTTTACCTTTTTATTTTCTTCCCTAGTAAAGAACTGTTATTCCTGCTCCCATGCTTTTTGCCTGAGAGCCCCTTAATTTATAGTTTTTAGCAATTCAGAGGGAGGGGGTTTGCATTTTCCATTTCAGGGGAGGCTCTTGCCTTCCTTAGCAGACACCTGGCTTTCCAAACCGAGACAGAATCACTGGGAATTCCGGGAACAATGGGCTGCAGTAGGCTGGAATGTCCGTGTGGTGCCTTGGCCAGCAGGACTGGGGTTATTTGGGATATTTGGAGCTAAAAGAGGAACCCAAGGAGATGTGACCCCACAGCACCTGCTGTGCCTCACTGCCCAGCACTCAGAGCTCAGGCACTGCTGAAAACCCATCCCAGAGGATGATTTATGGTGGGAAAAGCCTCCAGCTCCCATGTTTTGATTTCCAGCCCATCCTCAGTAGATCCATCAGGCTCTGATGGCTGTTACCATCTGTGATCCACAAACAGGGCCGTGCTGAGGTGGGTAAATGCCCCCAGCAGGGCTGGCAGCTGAGGGGATCCAGCCCTGATCCCAGCACTTATTTATGGCTCCACTGCTCCTAATCACAGGATTAGCTCCAAGGAAGGGCTCAGCAAAGGCAAGGTGGGAGTGCTGGGATGTTCAATGATGGGTTTAATTCAAAAAATGGGGATTCTGGATGAGGTAATGGTTTTTTTAGAGAACTTTTAAGAGAGTTTTAGGTAACTTGAGGGTGCTGGCACAGCACAAGGTGCAAGGACAGGTCAGCAGCAGCCTGGAAAACTCGATTTTTTTTTCCCAATTGTCTTACTCAGCCCTGTCCTGTCACTTTTTGAAGTGCCCCAGATTCACCCTGAGAGTTTCAGGGCCCCCTGTTCTCCTCACAGCACCATTCCCCAATTTTCTGCCTGAAAAAGGGGGAGTTTATCCTGAAAGCCGCAGGAAAAAGGGTTTACATCCCCCCTCCATTCCCCAGCCATTCCCAAAGGCATCTGGAGTTAGGGGAGAACCTGAGGGGTCCCAGGCACCATCCCAGGCTGAGTTAGTGAGCCCTGATTACAGAGGAGAATTAACGAGGTGGGGAAAGTGCTTGCCTGAGTTTTTCCTGAGGATGTTCACCCACCAGCAGTGCCTCACTTTCCCCATACATCAAACTCCAAATACTCGTTGGATTTCCTTTGTGACGCCTCTAATTCCCACGGATTTCAGCCCAGCTCCACTCTAGGGCTGTGATATCCCATCCCCTACCCTACCCCTGGGGGAGGATCTGCTGGATTGGTGCCAGCAGGACCATGATTTTAATTAATGAGCAATGCAAACCCTTGGAGCAGCAGCCCCTGGGTCTCTGGGGCTGGGACAAGGCTGCACTGAAACTGAATTCACTTCCCTGCTCGTTCTGCTCTCTGAGGAAACAGCCCCTGGAAATACTCACAGCTGGGCTGTAAATCTCCTCAATTGAGGAATGTAAATAATAAATGATACAGGGAGCGCAGTGCTCGGGGTTTATGGGCACCCATCCGTCTGGGGGCTGTCGGTGCAGCTGCTTCACAGGGGCTGGATGGGAGCTTTGGGTACCAGGGATGCTCCCAGCTGAGCCTCTGAGGATCCCATGGAGCTGGAGTGAAGGGATCACACCCGTGTGGCTCCTTAATTCCAGCCTGAAAGAGGAGGAGCTGGGAAGACCCGGCTTGAAGCAAACCCTTCTCCATTCCAAAGGGGCAGGATTCGGGATAAACACCCCAGTTTCCCCATGGATGATCTAATTAGGGGCTGCCAACTGCATCACAAAGCTCTGCTGAGCCACCCCAGCAGGTGCAGTCCTGCTCCCTGGATGTTATTCCAGCTTTATTTCTCTGTGGGAAAAGCAGATCTCAGATTTTCCACCCTTGTGGGATGCAGCTTAAGGTCAAGGGACAAACAGAGACTCACAAAGGCAGCGTGGCTGCAGCTCCCGGGCTCTCAGTGCCTGCCGAGGGCATCCCAAGGGCAGCCCCACGTGTGTCATGAGTGGGGAAACTGAGGCACAGCCTCCAGAGGAGAGTCCAGGTTTGGTGCCCCTGTCCAGGGAATTGCAGGGCTGAGCGAGCACCCGCAGCTCAGAGCTGCTCCTCGGGCTGCTCCAGCCCCCGGAGCATCACCCCCGATCCTGTGGGGGTAAAATGTCCCTGGGAGGGACCTTCAGGACCCCCAGCCCTTCGGTGACATGGTGACAACAGCCCTGGCTCAGCATCATCCCAAGAGACTTCCCAGCAGCATCCAACAGAGCCAAAATTGTTCCGTGGGCTCAGAGCATCCTCCCTGCCCCTGGAATGGGAATTCCCGCTGCTCCCAGCACCCCCAGCCCCATCCACACACTCCTCCCCTCCCAGCCCCGGCGCCTCCGGAGCCGGGATGCAAACGCCATCCCACTGCTAATTAAGATAAACCTGCGGCTGATCAATGCAACGAATTTTAGGGCTCCCTCTTAATTAAACACTCACGAGTTCATCGATCGCCCCAAAACTTCGCTCTGCAGCAAATCACAGCAATCAGCTGGGGAGGGCGCTGGTCCCGCTCATCCCAGCCTGAAAGGGATTTGTTTGCACCGGGAAACTGGAGGGACCGAGCTCCATCAGTGGGTGAGGGAGGGCAGCGCCAGGAGGGGACACGTGTGGGGACACAGCTCAGCCGGGGCTCAGGGAGATGGCACCAGGGAGGCAGAGCTGGAGGAAAATGGGATTTTTCCAGCGTGCTGGCACCAAATTTAAGAGGGAAGGAGTTCCTCTCTCCGTGAATCAGCCATCGGTTTTGGTGCCCTCGCCTTCTTTCAAACCCATCCCATCGCTCCAAGCTTTCCCAGTCCTTAATCCCCACGAGGAGGGTGAGAGAGCTCGGTCCTGCTCTGGCTGCGCCGGGAGCATGGCAGGGTCACCAGGGAGCCCCTTCCCCACCACAGCTGAGAAACTGAGCTTGGAAATCCGACTGCAAGGGGGGGAGTGCTGGGTGAACACCCCAGACCCAGCACCTTTGGAAAGCAGGAACTTTCCTGCCCAGCAGCCCTTCCTGGAACCAGAGAATCCTGGAATGGTTTGGGTTGGAAAGGACCTTAAATGACCTTGAATCCCAACCCATTCCCACGGCAGGGACACCTCCCAGTGTCCCAGGGGCTCCCAGCCCCAATGTCCAGCCTGGCCTTGGACCCTGCCAGGGATCCAGGGGCAGCCACAGCTGCTCTGGCAATTCCAGCCCAGCCCCTCCCCAGCCTGCCAGGGAACAATTCCCAGTTCCCAAGATGCCATCCAGCCCTGCCCTCTGGCAGTGGGAGCCATTCCCTGTGTCCTGTCCCTCCATCCTTGTCCCCAGTCCCTCTGCAGCTCTCCTGGAGCCCCCTCAGGCCCGGCAAGGGCTCTGAGCTCTCCCTGAATCCTTCTCTCTCTTTCCTGGAGCAGTCAGGACCTGCAGCTGGCGCTGGGCAGGGTCCTGGAACAGTCCCACAGCAGCATCTGCACCTCGGGCTGAGCTCTGAGCTCCCCTCCGGGCCGGGCTGCTGACCCCCCGATGGGTCATTGTCCCGCAGCCGGGTGATTTCCTCCCGCACACCATATGCCCGAGGCTCGCCAGGGATTGAACTTTTCATTTCTCCGCGTTTTGAGGAGATTTGGCCGTTCTGATTCCTCGCGTGCCGCGGCCGAAGATGCTGCGAGAGCCTCGCTCGCCCCGTCCCTGAGCCGCCGCCATCTCTGGGAGGTTTGGTCCCAAAAAACATCGGGGTTCGGAGAGAACCCCCCGGGGCAGCGTTTGGCAGGGCAGCGGGATGCCCGATCCGTAAGGAATTTTCTCCACAGCCCCGGGTTGAAGGAGCATCCCTGGAGCTCCGGCCCGGCCCCAGGGACAGCCGCGCCCGGTCCCACCCCGAAGGTGCTCCAGGACCCCCCATCCCCACCCCGACCCCTTTGCAGGTTCACCCTTCCCCCAGCCACTCTTTTTGAGGCAGTTTAGGGCATTTTGGCTCCGCCAACGCCTTCCCTTGCCCATGAGGAGCCCCAGGAGCCGTGGAAGCTGCTCCACCCCGCAGCCCCGGCCCTGGAAGGGGAATCGGCCGCGATTTAAATGAGAGGAGAGCGCGGTTGGTTATTAGGGAGGTGCAAACACCGCTGTGAACCCAGGGACTTCATTTAATGACTTGGAAACAAGTTCCTGACCTACTTCCATCTGCAAAAGCCTTCATAAAATCACAGACGGAAAGAAATGAAAGGCGCCGATCCCTCTCCAGCACCGGGTGGGGATGAGCAGGATGCAGCCCCAGCTGGAAAGAGGCCCCGATGCAGGAGCAAAACCACGTCAGGAGCAGAAACTGGGGTGAAAGAGACACAAATCGGGTCCTTCCCCAGCTGGGACAGTCCCTGGTGGATGCTGTAGGTTTTGGGGTCCTTTGAACCCCCCAGGTGGGAGCTCCCAGCGCATGGTTGGTCCAACCTTGGTCCCCGGGATGTGGCACTGGGGACACTTGGGGTGTGCCAGGGCCCCTCAACACCCACTGCCCACCCCACGGCTTCCCTTCCTCTCTCCCATCCAATCCCCCCTCCCCTTTCCCAGTTATTTATTTCATTTGCCCGCATCCGGCAGCGTTGCCATGGGAACGCAGCCCCGGCTGGATGCGCCTGTCCGGACGCTGCACCCCGGGATCCCGATGGAATCTGCTCCATGGAATGCGCCCCTGGGGGCGTCCCCACCCCTCTGACCCCCGGGGACCCCAGGCTGCCATCCCTTGGGTGCCCTCCAAGCCCTGCTTCCACATCCGTGCCCCTGGCTCTGTTCATCCCTGAGGTTCCATCACGGAGGGCTGGGAAATGCAGCCTTGGGGGGGGCTAATGGCCATAACTTATTATTATTATTATTATTGTTATTATTATTATTATCCCTAAATGTAGCTGATCAAACCTGACCCATCCTGTTCTGGCTCCACCACAGGAAAGGGAAACTGAGGCACGGCACAGAGAGACATTCCCTGCCCCCCTCAAAACCTTCACAGTGCTTGAGATGCTGGGAACGCTGAAATCCAGGGAATTAGGAGTTCCCACATGGAGAGGGGATGCTCCATGACCACCTCCCGATGATTCTCACCCAGGAGGAAGCTCCTCCTCATTTCCACCCCTAAAACAAAGCCATGAGCCCCATCAGCCCCCAAACTGGGGTCTGTCTGCATTTGGCTCCAACATCCCCATAAGAACCCCGCGAATATTGATAATTTTTTTTTTTTTTTGCCCTGAAAACACAAATTCCCGATTTCCCCAGGAGCAGACTGGTCTAACCGATTTACCTCTGATAAAATATCTCCTTAACTCTGACACAATATCACATTTCTATTTCGCTGAGCTTTAGCACGACGCCCCAGCTCCTGTTGGCAGCATCCCACAAACGCTGCCGTGAGATCCCTTTCCCCTCCTGCCTCCCAGCCAGGAAACTTTTCCACGCCGAGGGAAAGCCGAGGCGATCGAAGCAGCTCAATTTCCTGCCCGCCCATCGCAGCGCTGCCCTCCCGCACAGCGGGCTGGGTGTTCCCTCGGGGAATTGCTCCATCCCCTCGGGAACTGCTGCTGCTCCCGCAGGAGGGAGCCGGGAAGGTCCCGTTCATCCCGCGCTGGTGCTCAGCATCCCCGTAGCGTCACCTTGCAGCGACCTCGGCAAGCCCAGGGTGCCCTGGTGGGGGGACACGGGGTGGTGGCACTTGTGGGAGGGGGTGACAGGGTGCCAGGAGTGTCCCCGGAGAGGGGAATGCAGTGGGAACAGCCCGGGGGGAAACCGAGGCACGGGAATGTGACCACAGCTGAACCAAGCGTTCCAGTGAGGCTGAGGTCACTGGTGGTGAGCCTGCCCTGCTGTGCCTCAGTTTCCCTGGAAAATGGCCTGATTCCTGCTCAGCATCTGCTCTCCTGGCCAGGGGAAGCAGCTCCATGGAGCAGGTCCTCAGGGAAACTGAGGCACGGCAGAGTGCAGGGAAGCTCCAGCCCTGGAGAAAGGCTGTGCCTTGGGAACACCAAGCAGGGAGCTGCTCCAAACCCATGGGAGCAGGGCCGGCACCTCTGGGGTGGCCAGAGAGCCTGCTGTCCTCTCAGCCATCCCATCCCATCCTATCCCATCATATCCCACTGTATCCCATTGTATCCCATACCACCCGTCCATTCCCAATCCCATTCATGCCAATCCCATCCCATTTCATCCATTCTATGCATCCCACATATCGCATTGTATCCCATTACAGCCCATTTTATCCTGCATATCCGTTGTATTCCATTGCATCCCATCCACTCCCCATCCCATCGTATCCCACTGTATCCCATCCCATCCCATCCACTCCCAATCCCATCCCATCGTATCCCACTGTATCCCATCCCATCCCATCCATTCCCAATCCCATCCTATCCTTCCCATTTTATCCCACTGTATCCCATTGTATCCATCCATTCCCAATCCCATTCCATCCATTCTATGCATCCCACATACCCCATCCTTTCCCATCATCCCATCCCATCCCATCCCATCCCATCCCATCCCATCCCATCCCACAGCAAATCAATAAATCCTTGTCCCATCCAAGGCGGATCCCTGAGCCCCAGCTCAGCCTTGCAGGAATTTGTCATCCCACATCAGCTCCCAAACCCAAGCCCCATAAAGAAAATCGGGATTAATCCAGGACCTCAATCAGGCATCCATCCTCTTGGAGAGTCCCAGCAGAAGCCACTGAGAGGTGGAACGTTAATTAAAATGGAGGGAAAATCCCTAAAAAACCCCACAAGCAAATGGGGAATTGCTCAGGGAGGAAACCTGGGGGATGTTGGGTTTTAATCTGTGGGTATGGGGATGAAGTGTAGGGAAATGTGGGTTTAAACCTGGCAGATCTTGGGCCTAGGTCTGAGCAAACTAGGGCTTAAATTTGGGAGGTTTTGGGCTTAAATTTGGGGAATCATTGGCTGAGATCTGGGGGAGCTGGGGCTTAATTTTGGGATCTAAGATAGGACAGTTTGTGTTTTGATCTGGGTTTAGGGTTTGGATTTGGGAATCTTGGTCTTAGATCTGGTGGATTTGGGGTTTAAATTTTAGGGAGTTTTGTGCTTTAATTTGGGAGATCTTGAGGTTAAATTTAGGGAATTTTGTCCTTATATTTGGGGGATCTTGGACTTAAATTTGGGGGATTTGGGGATTAAATATGGGGGATCTTGGGCTCAAATTTCAGGAACTTGGGTTTAACCTTGGGAAATTTTTCCCTTAAATTTGGGGGATTTGGAGCTTAAATATGGAGCATCTTGGGCTCAAATTTGGGAATCTTGGATTTAACTTTGGGGGATTTTGTCCTTATATTTGAGGGAACTTGGGCTTAAATTTGGGGGATTTGGGGCTTAAATATGGTGGATCTTGTGATCAAATTTGGGAATCTTGGGTTTAACTTTGGGGCACTGGACGGCCAGAGTGGATAAGATGGGAAACCAGGAGAGATGTGGGGAGCCTGAC